TTTTTTTTTTTTTTTTTTTTTTTTTTATTACAATTTATTTTATATTTCTTAATTTTCCTTTTTTCTATTATTATATTTTTTTTTTTTTTTTCTTTTCTATTAAATTCTCTTTATCTATTGTTGCCAATTATTATTTACTTAATAATTTTTTTATTTAAATAAAATAGGAACTATCTGTACTTACATTTTCAACAGATGCATCTACATCATCTGAAATAGAAAATGTCACTTTTGAATCCTCATCTTGTGATAGTAATTCTACTAAATTTTTGTGACACATATTTCTTGTAATCCTTTTACAAGATTCTTCATATATATTTTTATTTTTATCTATATTTTTAGATTTATTATTTACTTTGGCTATATTATTTTTATCACCCTTTTTATCATCTTCCAAAGTACCAATATACTTATTGTTAACTTGTTTTTCTTCTTGAATATCTTTTTCATTCATGTTTTCCTTTTTTTTACTAAGTAATTCCTTTTTTTTTTTTTCTCTTTGATATTCTTCTATTTCTCTAAGTTTTAGTTCACTCTCATTTGTTTCGTCTTCTTTTTTTTCATTATCTTTTTCTTCTTCTATTTCTTCATCTTCTTCTTCCTTATCTTCATCTACTTCTTCTTCTACTTCATCATCTACTTCATCTTCTATTTCATCTTCTTCTTCTTCATCTTCTTCTTCATCTTCTTCAAATTCGTCTTCAAATTCGTCTTCAAATTCATCTTCGGATTCATCATTTTCTTCATATTTTCCATCTATTTTTTTATTTTTTTTTTGTTTTTTTGAATTTTTTTCAATTATATTTTGTTTTTTTAATTTTTCTGCACACATCTTTGCTTGGTTTAATTTTTGCTTAATTAAATCGTCTCTATATTCAATTTTGCAACTCATAGTGAATGTTACAAAATCTGGAGTTAATTTTTGAAGAATAGGACAATTATTGATATCGTTTTTTTTAAAATCAGTAGCATCTTTTGTTGCCTTAATTAAAATTTCATCAGGTACTGTTTCTATATCTAAATGATGAGCCCAAGTATTTACATCTTCTTCTTCAAAATCTTCTAATTGCTCTGTGAAATTTTCCGTACTGTTTTTAGAATTGCATCTATTACATTCAATATTATCGTGAGTTTCACAAATTGTATTTATTTTGTAATTAAAAAGCTTTTTTACATTTTCATCAGATAGCTGATCTTTTGATAAATTCGTGTTAGTAACAATCATAGATGATAAACCATCTTTACTAATTTGCCTTTGATATACTTTTTCATCAATAGTACCAGTACAAAACAATCTGTAAATATAACATATTTTTTTTTGTCCTTCTCTCCATACTCTTGCTAAAGCTTGTTTGTCATTTGCTGGATTCCAATCAGGATCTAATAAAATTAATCTATTAGAACTAATTAAATTAATACCACATCCACCTGATTTGGATGACAATAAAAAAATGAAAATATCAGGTGAATGAGTAAAATCACTTATAACTTTGTGTCTCTTTTTTATACTTATTCCTCCATCTAAACGAACAAATTTATAAAAATTTTCTTTACATAATATTTCCATATAATCTAAGGTTTGTGTGTAATTACTTACAATGACAACTTTGTCAGTAGTATTTTGCTTAATATTTTTTAACAAAAAATGTAATAAAAGAAATTTACAGGATAAATTATAATATGACCTATGTATGTCCCTTTTACATTCTTCGAGAATTCTTTTTACAGGTTTTTCATAATCTATATCAAATTTTTTTTTTTCTAACTTACAATTTTCCGATGAATTATGTAAATTTGTTATTTTTTCATTCTTTATATTTGAGTTTTTGTCATTTGTATTTATTTTCTCATTTTTTGACTTTTCTATTTCACAAGTTAAATCTTCTATTAACTTTGATAAAGGTATTTGACCGATATCTTTTATATCATTTGCATTTAGTAGTAATGGATGATTGCATATTTTTTCTAATTTTTTTATATTAATAAGAACGTTTACTTTATTATTAGATTGATCATTTTTTAAAATTTTTTTGTCCTTCAAGAATAATAAATATAATGCTTCTTGAAGTGGATTTAATTTTATAAATATATTAATGAGATATTTTACAGGTAATACTTTAGATAATAAATTATTAGTTCTCCTTAGTATAAATTTATTAGTAATATTTGATAATTCAGATAATCTTTCAGATGCTATTTCTTGCTCTTTTTCTGTTGCATCTTTGTCCCTACCTATTAATATAGGATTTGCATATTTTTTTCGAAACAAATTCGTATCATCAAATAAATCAGGATTACACAAGGAGATCAAAGCAAAAAACTCTCCTAAATCATTTTGAATTGGAGTTCCTGATAGTAACAACCTTTTTTTAGCAGAAAGGTTATAAATACTTGTATATGTTTTTGTTTTATCATTTTTTAGTCGATGTGCTTCATCACAAATAATCATATCTATAGATGATTTATCAAGAAATTCATTATTAATACGAAAGCATTCGTAAGAACATATTAATACATTTGATTTTAAATCATATTTAAAACCTTCTAATTTACTAACTATTTTTTCTTTCACATTATCATTAACACATGTAACATTACATCTACCCGGAAGCCATTTACTAATTTCATCATTCCAATTATTTATTAAGCTAGCTGGGCATAAAATTAAACATCTCCTTATTGCTGACTTATTATGAAATCCTTGTTTTAACAAAGTGTACAAAACAGATATACTTTGTAGGGTTTTTCCTAGTCCCATATCATCTGCTAATATGCATCCACTTATTTTTTCATCTCTCAAATTCATTAAACATTCAAAAATAAATTGTACTCCTTCCCTCTGATGCTCTCTTAAATGCTGTGCTAAAATTGGATCTACTTGTATTTTATCATTTTCATCTTCATATAAAATCAAAGGATTATGCTTTTGTATTATTTCTTCTATTTGATCTTTTTCATCTGCTTCATCTGACCTTCTAGGAATGGAATTTTTCATCAAATTTATCCACCCAGTTCGTCTTACTTTAGCTCCTAATGTTTTTTTAAGATATAGTGTTTTATCACTTACAAATCCTGGTAATGGGTTTTTGAATGGATGAAACATTGTTGTTTTTTCATTTTTCCCAATACTAAGAATTGGTAATAAGGTTGCTCTAACTAATGTTATGCATGTTTTGTCTGAGGTTATGTTATCGTTTTCTTCAATGGGATCATCTCTATTTCTTTTTACATTTCCATGGTATTTTCTCATTATAAAATAGTTAAGAAAAAAAAATTAAATATATACAAATATATTTAAATTAATAATCACTTCCAATAATTTTATAATTAAAAAAAAAAAAGGATTATTTTCAATTAAATTTATTTGTGCCCATTATTCAAAAAAATAATCAAAAATATAAAAATTAAAAAAGTTAAAGAATAGAAAAAAAAAAATAAAGTGCAATAAATTCTTATAAACTCAAATAAAATTCTAAAGTATTTTATTCTAAAATCATATATTTAAAATATAATTAAAACGTATAGATTTTTGTATTAATATTGATAGAATATATTTATTTATGTATTTGCATATATTTATAAATAGCGCGTAAAATGTGTTATTTAGGTAGTATTACACAAAAAGGAAGAAAATATTTGTTTACAATAAATTTAATAACATATCATAATAAACATACAATGGCAAAATAATAAAACCTTATCTTTTTCTTAATAAAGTTAAATAAATTGCTTATATTTATACGTTGCAAAAAAAAAAAAAAAAAAAAAAAAAAAAAGAAAAAAAAAAAAAAAAATCATAAGAATAAAAAAACAAATCCTTATTAATATTATGAATAATATATAATAGTCTTTAAATACTTGTTAACATTTCATCTTAATTTTTCTGAATACTAAGATTTTTTTAATAAATTATAAAATTATATTTTAAATATATAAATAATTTTTTTAAATTATTAAATTGAAAAACGTTTAAAAACAAAATTTATAACAATGATATCATGCTGTTTTAAACTTCGATAAATCCATATAATTAAATAATCTACAGTTTACAGGAGATATTTTTATTTTTTTTTTTTAAATTCACCAATAAATGAATAAATAAATAAATATATATATGTATATATATATTTTTTCTTTTGTTTTTGGGTGCAATTTGAGTCTTATTTTTATTCAATGAATAATATAATAATTCAAAATAAAGGTTTTTAGTATTTTTCATTAAAGAAGAAAAAGACATTAAAAAAGAGAAAATGTTTAACTTTTTTTTTTTTTTTTTTTTTTTTTTTTTTTTTTTTTAACTTATAAGCTTTTTGGCTTGTTCTACTAATATAAATAAAAATAAACATTCTGAACGGTTAATATTATTTTTACGAAAAAGCGTATTGTAAAATTAAAAGCAATTTTTTTTGTGTGTATTTAGGTGTCTTTTTAAAATATTAATATCATATAAAAAGGAAAAAAAAAATAATAACAAAAAAAAAAAAAAAAATAAATAAATAAATAAATAAAATTAGAATATTAGTCGTAATATAGTTGTAATATATGTATATCACCATCTACATCACCACATACTAATTTATTGTTTATATTTTTAAAATCATTATCGGATAAATGCATTTTTGCTTTTTTACCATAAATTTTATATTTATTTAAAACAGAATCATATTTTTCTCTATCTATGTAAGTATTTTCTGTAAGTAAATTTTGATTAATATTTAAGTAATATGTTGGTTTACCTATATTTATTTTAAAATATGTATTTTTATATATATCCAAGTTTTCTTCATATTCCAAATCATTGTAAAATGTTGTATTATTAATTAAGTTACTTTTAACAATGTCATAAATATATAATTCATTTTTATATGAACAAGAAAATATATATTTATTTTTATTATCAAATTTTATGTTCCTTTTATGATTGTTATTCATATCACCTTTATATAAAGCAAGTACAATTCCTAAAGTGTAAAGAAAAAAAAATATATGTTCTATCTTGTTTCTATTTTATTAGAAATTAAACATTTTTCATTTTTCTTTTCTTTACCACTATTTTTTTCAATCAACTTAATGCTGTTGTCTATTAAATTAACACAAAAATAATTTCTATCTTTTGTTACATCAATACTTAAAATAGAGGATTTCATATTATAACTTGTCATTTTTCCCATTCTCAAATCATAAAGTCTTAGTATGTTATCAATACTACAACTATAAATTTCATAGTCATCAATATAAATACTGAAAAAAAAAAAAAAAATATATATATATATATAATAAAAAAAAAAGGTGATAATGCATTTAAATAAAAAAACATTATTGTTTACTCAGAAATCATATCTTTAGCATCATTAAATATTTGCAGTGGGTTATTTTTTTTTTTAAAATCTCTTTCTTTAAAATCGTAAATATTTATTGCATTATTTTTACTACAAAAAAGCAATTTTTCATTTTTACTTAATTTAATAACATTTATCTTATCTGAAATTAAAATAAAATTATTATATGTTAGATACATTTGCATAATTACATAAAATTACAATAAAATTGTTGAATTATAAATAAAGATATTTATATAATTAATAATATATATATATATATTTATAACCATTTACATTAATTCTATTTAAAATTCTGTTGGATAATGTATCCCATAAATATGCATACATATCATTCCCTAAAATAATTGAAAAATCAGTATTTTAATATTAGTATATGGTTTTTTTTTTTTTTTTTTTTTTTTTTTTTTTTTTTGTACCAGCAGAAAAAAATTTTGTATTATCTCGGAAAAGAGCTATGTCATTTATTCCTTTTTTATGTACATCTATAAATATATATATATATCAAAAAAATTTTAATTATTTGTCTTAATAATAAAAATAACTTATTAAAATTCTGTATATAGATTAAACCTTTATATGTATTTATATGTAATTGTGTATTAATATTCCAAAGACAAATTTTATTATCTAAGCTTGAACTAACAATATAATTTTCATCATTACTAAACAGAATTTTTGTTATACATGCTACAATGAAAAAGAAAACATAGAAAAAATTTTGCTTTATTTCCTATATTATTAAAAGGTGTTATTAAAGATTATGCTGAATTATTTATATTTTCTTGTTATTATATCAATAAAAGTTAATAAAACCCATATTTCCATTAATTATTTTTTTGTAAATGTGTGATATAATATATATATATATATATAAACTATCAATTTAATGAAATTTATATTTTTTTTAAATAAAAATAGTTTTGATTGAAAAAATTTATAAACCTTTATGCCCTGATAATTTCCCTGTTGTTTGAGCATTTAAGTTAATATTCATGTTATATATTTTTTTTTTTTTTTTAAAAATAACATTATGAAATGTAATATAGGAATTAAAATTTTTTAATTTTGAATTAGAAAAAAACGACAAAAAAAAATATACTTTAATATATTTTTAAAGCTTTAGTTTTAATAAAATTATATTTCACTTTTTTATAATTATGAAAAAATAAAATAAAACGTTCAAATGATTTATAAGATTTTAATGATTTAATAAAATTTGTTATTTTAAAAGAGATGCTACTTGAAAAAAAAAAAAAAAAATTATAAAATTATGTATTTGATACATTAATACATTATACTAAAAGTTTTATATCTTTATTTGATATATGTATATATAATTAAAGAGATTCAATGGAATTTAAAAAAAAAAAAAAAATCGAATTTTATCATCTTTTTAAAGAAAAGTTATTCTATTTCAATTAATCCAAAATAAAATCATGAGTTTATATAATTAAATATAAATTAATAAAAAATGTAAACGTGTATTCCACAAATTTTATTGAATAAATGAGAATCATAAGATCATATATATGCACCGTACTTGCAGACAATTTATTAAAAAAAAAAAAGTGAAGATACAAATTATTGTTAAAATAATTTAAATAAAAAGGTATATATAAGTATTTCTTTTTATTAAAATACACAAGCTAAAACATATTTTATTTTCTGAATACATATAAAAGGAAACTTTAGAAACTTTAAAAATTTTTTTTTTTATTTTTTCTTTAAATATTTTATATTTTCTAGGTTTCAATTTTTAAACAGACGCATACAAAAATATACATATAATTTATTTTTGTGTATTTCGTTAGGATATATTATTACCTAAAAAAAAAATTATTTATTTTTAAAGATTGTAATTGCTTATTTAATAGAATTTGTTATACTTTTTTTTTTATATGCTATTTTGAAAATTTTATAATTTTTTTTCTAATTCTTTAGTGGTAGTGTTTTTTTTTAAAAAAAAATATTTTAACACTTTAATAAATATATTTATTAAATGTAGTTATATTTAAAAGTGTTTTTTTCATATTAAATATAGCTTTTCAATAATAGTATCTTAATGTAAAATAAAATTTTTGAAAGTAATAAAAAAAATCATAGAAAAACCAACAATGTAGTTTCTTAAATTTAGGTTTTCATTTTTTTTTTTTTTTTTTTTTTTTTTTTTTTT